CCCCAAAACCCCAAAACCCCAAAACCCCATGATATAAGATTAGTGATAAAAAGTGGAAATTAAAATGAGGAATAAAATAATAATACTTATATATTTTAATGAGAGGATCAAAATTTGAACATCCTGATATAACTGCAGCCTTCCATTAGCAAAGGTTTGCTTATTTATTCATAATTGTTATTAAGGATTTACGAGCTGCATTAGAAAAAGTTGGAGAAATTAGGGCCAAAGGGAATGCAGAATAGATAGGCGTCTAGCCCCACAAATTAAAACTAAGTTACCATTCACAACAACAATAATTTGTATACTAATAATGATGTAATGCCATCAAAATTCCTTACTTCTAGGATTTAAGCATAGGAGCATAGAGAAATCGGTACTTATTTGAGTCTATTTATTATGCTATTTAGAAAAACTGAGCCAAATCAAGTATGAAAATGAATTATTACTAAAGAAACTTGTCCAAATATCATAAGGGAAATAGGTAAAAATAGTTATTGTACAAAGCAAAATTTGATTTTTCAACACAGATATCAGTGGGTAAGCACATAGTTCCAGAGCCAAATAAGCCTAAGACGTTGCATATTACTAAGAAAAAACTTGATGCAGAGAGAATTGATTATGATAATCTGAGACTGCTTCAAAAAATCAATAATATGTAATTAACTGTAAAATTATAATAACAATGTAATGTAGTTCAGCTACGATTCCCAAGCAGAAACTAGACAAGGACTGGTCAACTTAGAGGTAGTATCAGTAAATAGTATAAAAATCAGCTAAGAAAGATCTCCTTGATCTGTATTAAAAAAGAAGAGAATTTCTTTAGAAGAACTTTTAAATGCTGCCAGGAATTAAGGACACTTCGAAAAGCAGAGAAGACACTTAGACAGATAGACAGAGACTAAATGATGCTTCTACTCTTGAAAGCCAATCTACCAGAGAAAAGTATCCTCTCCCAACTTAGAGAAATAAGGGCAATCTCATACTCAACTAGAAATCCATGCTTGAGGATGATCCAAAGAAGAGAACTAAATCAAGTGGCAGCAGGTGCTCTTCAAATGTGAATATGAAACAAAGTTCTACGAAACGTTTATTGTAAAAAACCAACTTCAGTGAAATCCATCAAAATTCTCTAGAGGATGATGAGGGCACAATGACTGCTAGTATAATGAATCAGATGTAGGCTGGCAATACCACCACGACAAATGATTATAAAGAAAATATTATACTAGGATCTAAGCAATTGAAAGCAAGTGCAGCTGGTAATTATAAAACACCAAGGGATAATTAACTGGGAGGCTATAGAATAAGTAAACAATTGAATGGAGGAGGATAATTGCTAAAAGTTAATTTAGTTGGCAATTCAAAATTAGCACAGTCTTATCAGTTTAATATACCTAGAAAGAAGATTACATAGGACGATGGTTTTGCAAGTGGCTCAAAGAAGAATAGCCATGATCTCTCAAATATAGCAAGTGCTAGAAGTATAATAGAGCAAGATTCATAAAATAATTTGCATTCATATCATCAGAAATAAGGCTCAGTAGAATTACTGCCTTCAAATAAAATTTAAGCATAATATACTCTTCCAACAATGAATAATCAGGTTGATCAGTCATCTCAAGAAAATAATAAATCCATTTAGAAATTATCTAAAATGACTATTAAAGATTCCCAATTTTCCACTGATCTTAAATAGTCTGTCACTGATAAAGACAAAAGAGATTTGCCTGAAGACCTAAAAATATATAATAAAATTAGATAGTCTCAAAATGATGCTGGCAACTCCTCAAATAAGTTACTCAATGCTTCTTACTCTAAACCTAAAATTTTTAACGAAAGTATTAAGTCTGGGTACCAGAGCACTACCTCTAATTATGATATCAATGAATCTTAACTTAGCATGATTAGTAAAAGCTAGATCTCGCACTCCAAGGATCTTAGACTGAGAAAAATTTAGTACTGCCTGAGTTAGCTATCTCAGAGTAAAGCCTAATTGGGGAAAAAATCAGATTCAATTTATGACTAAAGCTTCAAGAGAGAGGATAAGCCTTCGACAAATCGCAATGTAATCATCAGTTAAATAGATAGCATTGATAATTATGGAGACGACTAAAATTGCGAGCCTACTATTGAATAGAATTCTTCTTCAAAAATGACATAAAAGTTGCCTGATACATCTTAAAGTCTGTTGATAAATAAGACCCAATAAGAGAAAGTCTTAGAAACTAAATCACCATAAGTGACATTGAAATAATAAAGCTCATTGACTAATAATAAAGAGGAGATAGTAAGGAAAGATATAGACGGCAATAAACTTGAGCAAATGATTTCTAATAACCATGAGATTAATTAAGCAAATTAAATCAGAACTGAATAAGTTTCTTTGATCTAATCCGAAATGACCTCGACAAAAAAGACTATAACTGAAAATCAATATCTTGAGGATGGCTTTGAAGCTGAGGAGGACATTGAAGAAGAGATCTGAGACCTAATAAATTCAATGTTCTTAAATGAAGATTGGCATACTCATGACATAAATATTAGCTTGAATATGAAATTTAACTTACCTAAACTTATAGTAAATTCATAACCCCCTTATAATTAGATATCATCATTATTTTTAATACTTATCATTGAATTGTGTTATTATAGTTCAAGATAACCTAAAGTGAAGTTGCGATTTACTTTTTTTTATTTCAGTTTGATATTTTAAATTGAAATGAGAAATTAAAATCTTCTTATTTCCTTAAAGTGAAATTTTCTTATTTTAAATATTTCGAAAAATAATTAACTTATGTTTAAACTTAAATAAAAGTACTTTTCGTATAATATTTTATATATATGGGGAAAAAGAGTGTATAAATTTTTAGTTATATTAAAGCATTAAAAATCAACTCATATCTTCATATTTTCTTCGGGTCTCTAACTCATTTCAACGATTTCTTTCGCTTTATTGAAAGATTATAGATTCTGATAAGAAATTTCGAATTGTATGATTGATTCAAAGGAGCAAATAGCTGATTTCAAACTTACTCAGGCTGAGTAAGCGAAAGTAGCGAGATTGGCCAATTTCCCGAGGCTTGAGTATGTGTATGATAGACCATTATAGGCGTTAGCGTAGTTATAGTTGTAGGAATATGCTTGGTCATAGGCATCGTTTGAAGCTTTTTGGTTGTTATAGCTGTAAGTGTAAGCTTGATTATAAGCAGAGTCTGACTTGTAGTTGTAGTTGTAAGTGTAGGCTTGATCATAAGCCAAGTCTGACTTGTAATTTTGGGTATAAGAATATGCTGAAGAATCAACCTTATAGTTGTAGCTATCGCTATATTTGTAGTCATTGTAGCTGTAAGCATATGCATTATCATTTGAATAGCTGTAGGATTTCTCAGCATATGTGAAAAGATAGTTGTAGGCGTAATTAGCAAGATCCTTTGCATAATTGTATGAATATGTGGCATAGTTATTGTTATATGTTTTCTCATAATTGTAGGTTGCCTCATTGTTGTATTGATAATTGTAGTTGTAGTTGTATGAATACTAATTCTTGTAAGAGTAAGAGATAGCTGGCACATAGTTGTAATATGTGGTATAGGCGTAGTCTTTCTTGTAGTTGTAATAAGCTGGAGACTCGGTGTAGCTGTAAGCGTAGTATGAGTCTTTGTAGTTATATGATGGAGAGTACTCACTTGAGTAATCACTACCCTCAGCGTAGCTGTAGTCGTTGTAGGCATAAGCATAGTATGAGGGTGAGTACTGGTAAGTGTAGGTGGATGGAGCATATTGGTATGCCATCTGAGTAGCCTCAGCAAGTGAAATGCTAAAGAGAGCTGCTAATGTTGATAGAACAATCATCTTCATCTGATTATGTGGTGGTTAAACTTCCGAGTATTAAATATAAGTAATTATTTAAAATCACTCAATAAATATGCAATAAATTCTATCTAATAATTCAAAGTGATTAAGAAATTAAGATAATTATTTTAAAGCCAGAATCATCTCCTCATATTTTAAGAGGCCACGTTATCTGCAAATTTAGTCTTGCCACTATCAACAAATCCTCTATTTGCAGCTTGGGTGCCGGCCATAGTGTCACCAAAGCCATCACCCTCTCCCTCAAACTTTTAGTCCTTGACCAGCACTGCAGCAGCTGGAAGCACATACTCTTCTTCCTCTGAACTCTCAGGTGTAGGTTCTCTTGGTGGTGTCGGTGTTCTTGGTGGAGTTGGAGTTCTGATCGGCGTTGGTGTCCTTGGTGGAGTCGGTATCGGTGTAGGCTCCTTAATTGGCTCCTCTACAGTTGCTATTGATATATCTCTGAGTGGGTCAATAATCAAGCCTTCCTTCATTTAGATCTTCTTCTTGCAGCATAGATACTTCTTACAACAGGCACAACAACCTAGTAAGAAGGACAAAAGGAACATGACGAAATTGATAAATATTATTGTAGCTATAGTGCCAATTAAAACTCTCCCCAGATAGTAAAACTCGGCATCTTGGATAAATGGATATCTGAATCTATAGAGCCCCCCAGCACTATGAGTATTCCTATATCGTTGATAATAGTGTGAGCGTTCAAAAGCACATCATTGAAAGGCCTGCTGATGCAATGATGAATCAAGGCGAGAGCGTTTACAAACATTAAAAGATTCAACTGCCATAAAGTTGAGGATTACAAAGTCAAGATAATTATAGTGATCAGAAATCTTCTCAGACAAAAGGCCCACATGTAGAAGTACCTTACGAAGCTAGTGGTTGAGTACTCACAGAAGAGTAGAAACCATTTGAATTTAAGCAGTTCTTTTAGATTTTCAGTCTTTAGTGCTTTTCGATACTAAATTGCTTGGTAAGTATGATAAACTGGGAACGCAACAAAAGCAGCCTGATTAGTTAATACAAACATTAATTACAAAGAAAAAGGCACTTAAAGTCACTGATAGCTAAAGTGTTGAGTTGTCAAAGTGCATATTTAGCATTTATAGCATGCAGCAGAACACAATCTTTAAATAGCAGACCTGTATTCCTCTATAAAAAGCGAATGACCTGTAGCTCTTCTCCATTTCGACAAAGAAAGGATACTAAGGCAGCAAAGCCTTAATGAAATTGAAGAAAAACAGGAGCAAGACAGCGCATAGCCAGCAGTTCAGTATATCAGCAGCGTCACCTAAAAACGATTAAGTTTCATAGCTTGAATAGTTAAGGTTAGCTGAAACTATATATGAAAAGTGCGTTTTGATTTTAAAAGATATCATTTCTCTCGAATCCATACCAAAAGGTTGTAGCATAAGGAGTCAGATCCATATCCCAAAAAGTATTCCCAAGGAAGTTTGAGTAGATCACATAGTTGTCTCCATTCGCTATACTGACTTCCTTGATATACAAAGATGCACAAGATGGCAGATAAAGCTGCATCAATGGAAACAGACTGATAATCTGAATGCAATAGGCAAGACACCAAAAGAAATTCATAGAAATCTCGTAGAAAAATCCAAAGAAGTTAAGCATGAAGTATATTACCAAGACCCAGAAAGATGCTTCCCACAGTCCATCCAAATCACATTTATAGTCACTTTCCCTTGGATTTGCATAAAGCACCCAGACATTCTAAATCAAGGGAGCTCCTCTGTAATTGTAGAAATTACTACAGTCTCTGACAGCAAATATGATGCCCTCAGCATTCAAGCCAAAGAATTGACCTGACTTTTTATAGGTTATTTATACTTCTAAAGTTGTGAATCCTGAGCTTCTACCTCTGTAATAATTTAGGTTCAGAACATCAATATAGTAAGAGTATAAGTCACGAGGTCCCGAAACATATACCAAGAAGTCATCTTTAGTAAAAGTTGATTTCATGAAAGTTGTTTCGTTAAAGGTCAAAGTAATTACAGTATTATTTTTGCTCAAAGTTGCATTCACTATTCTAGGATAAGGCCTCCAGCAATGGTCTGGGCCTGTAGGAGATCCACCTTCACAAGTGTACCCATTTTCAATATTGCAAACTGAGTTGCATCCGTCACCGCTTACTGTATTTCCATCATCACAAAAATATTAAGTGAAGTCTAAACCATCTCCACAGATCTCAGTGCAGGAATCTTCAGTGTAATAACCTCCTCCACTGCATTTCCAGTCAGCTTCTATTTCGCATGTACTTGAACATCCATCCCCACTATATTATATTTTATACCACATTATTACCTTAGCGTGTTAGCGTCGCACCATAAGAGACCAATATTATAACCATCACCACAGGTTTCTGAGCATTTATCAGGGGTGTAAAGATCCCCACCGACACATTCGAATCCATATTCTAGAACGCAATCAGCATCACATCCATCATTATTGTAGTTGTTTCCATCGTCACACATATTTCCCATTGGTGTTAGAGTTTTCAAGGATCTACCATCTCCGCATACCTCAAAACAATTGTCGAAATGAGCAAAGTTTCCAGTACCGCAATTCCAACCTAGCTCTTAGTTGCAGCTATTATCACATCCATCTCCACTCTATGTATTCTTATCATCGCAATAATTTGTTCCCATGTTAAAACCATCTCCGCAATTCTCAGTACACACACTTTTACCCGTTAGAGGTGCTGTACAAGCATACCCATCCTCTTTATTGCAAGTTCTATCGCAACCATCTCCTCCAACTGTATTTCCATCATCACATACTCTGATTCCTAGGTTCACTCCATCACCACATTTATCAAAACAAATGTCTGCCTTAATGGGATTTCCACCTTAGCAATCATATCCTGTCACAAGTTTACAATTATTATCACATCTGTATAATAATAAACTAATCATGTATTCTAACCCTCCTGAATTTAAAACTCCATCTTCGCATTCTAATGTGCCCCAATCAATTGAATCTCCACAAACTTCAGTGCAAGTATCCTATGCTGTCGATCCTCCTCCTGTGCATTTCCATCCTGTTTCCACATTACATTTCAAATCGCAACTATCATATTTAAGATTAACCATGCAGATAATATTCATACCCGTCTCTTGGACCTACACCCCCATCATCACATCCATTTCTGCCCATATTTAAGCCATCTCCACAGACTTCAGAGCATGTTGACTATGCTCCAGGTACATTTCTACACTGAAATCCAGTATTGAAATCGCAAGTAACTGCATTGCATCTGTAGTTAATTAATCAAATTAGTAATTACGCTTGAGGATCTGCAGTTGTATCGCAAATTTCACCAGCTTAGAGATTGTTGTTAGGACCACCACCTGAGCATGCTTGTTAATGATATATGTAGATTTCTAAAATATTAAACCCAAAAACATACATAAAATCAAAGTCAACAATCCTATTTTGAGAGACTACAATTTTACTCTCATTTTTACTAATTCTATTTTTATATTTTATAAATGCAAATCACTCTAATCTCACCCTGGCGGGGTTTTGGGGTTTTGGGGTTTTGGGGTTTAAT